GCGAAGTCCAACTGGAAAATAACCAGATTTGATTTCAGGCATCAATATATGCTAGCTATTTCTCTTTCTATGGCTAACATCTCAGTCCTGGTACTACTATGAGTGATAGGATATGATTGACTAATAATCCTGGTGAAATGGTTGATAGGGTATTCAGAAAAGTCAATATCAAGAAGTGGGTAGCCAAATCAAGACCAAAGCTCAAACTGGAGCATGTGGTAAAGAGACTCAAGTGGGCTACATTGCATTAAGACTGGACAGTGGAGGATTTTAAAGGAGTTATTTGGAGTGATGAGTGTAGTGCAGAGAACTTCAAGAATCCAAGACAACAATGGGTTTTCAGAGAACCCGAACAGAAGTGGCTCTCTGATTCTGTTCATTGTAGGGAGAATGATAAAGGAATTTCTCTTATGGTTTGGCGGTGCTTTTGGGGGAAGAGAAAAGGTTCTTTGGTTCCTATTACTTAAAATATCAATAAGACCAGGTATGCTAGACTCTTGAGAAGGCATCTCTTCCAGTTATTCATCAAATGAGCTCTTTTCTTATACAACATATTCTTTTACAACAAAATAATACTGCTGGTTATGAGGCTTATAGTGTTATGGATTGGTTGGAGAGAAACTGTATTGAGGTTCAGGAACACTCTACTTATTCCCTTGATTTGAATGCTACTGAGCATGCATGGTGTAACAACCCTACATTATAGAGCTATGGCAACCTAAGTCTACGCTAATACAGAAGGCCAAGAGGTTACATGGTGGACTAGGCGGGCATGCTGGTGCATGTGCCAGGAAAACCTAATGGTCTGAGTTTTCCGAAGAATAGAAGGTGCTTCAGGAATAGATGTACCTAAGTAGGGGAAGTATCATAACTATGTCTGCTCCAGCCTAAGGATAGGTTGGAAGGCCAGGTGGATTTACCCAGTTTAGGAGAGTCACTTTATCCTAGCCTAGAGGCCAGTTTCATGTCACCATGGACATACTTACCCTACCTTTGGGACACTATTACCCTACCTTCAGTTGGAAATATTCTGGGAGGAATTCCAGGAAATGTTCGGATTGTTTGTTACACAATGATAATCAACAGGCACTTGCTTGCATACTGATCAGAAGACTACAGGAGGAGCTAGGGAGCTCTGAACATGCTGTAACTTGGCAGAATTATTCCTGAGGTACCGGCGGCCCCAGGACTCGCCCCGGGTATCATGGGTCAAAACGGGTGGAGTTGTCGTCTTACTAGTTAAATGGAGTCTGTGAAGACATATCTATCATACTGTATATGTCGCTGCCGTCCAGCTGACCAGAGGCTGTTCGTAGGGTACACAAGGGGGCCAAGGTAAAAAGTTCAGGTACCTTGCCCAAAAGGTAGGGAGTCAAATGGCCCAAAACTGACAGAGTTAGCGTAAGCTATCTGGAAGGGTCACCAGAATAGTCCCGGGTAGTGCCAGAAACATCTCGGAAGGTTTTAAGCCACTCATGACTACATGTGCCCTATTGCCGTAGGCTCTTTGTGAGTTGGTTGAGGACTCTAATAGCATGATACTTATCATGGTAAGTGGTGGGCTGGAGGGAAGGGACCATGGATAGTGCCCGCGGGTTTCACTGTCACCACAGCTCTCCGGGGCGTGGCATAGACCTTCTAAGTTTGCAGTTAAGACTCATAGAACTTAACCGGAAAACAGGCAGCTAAAACTACAGCAACCAAGATCCCCCCTACAAGTTTTCTCAACAACCAACCCTCCTCCTTTTTCCTGCACAGAGATTCCTGTTTAATAATTCACTTTAACTCTTGTCACCAATTTTCAGAACTTTATTCCTCCTTTTACCCCCATCTTGGCACAAAATCCTGATTTTAGCCCTATTTTTAGCCCTGAATTGTCTCCCTTCAATACACAACTCAGTCAGTTTAAGAGCTCCTGCTCTCAAATTTGGACAGCCCACTGCTGTTAGCTAGCAGAGGTAGCTGTTCAATTGTCAGCTGAGTACCTCTTCTTTTACATCCTTTGTTCACTTTTGTTTTTTGGTTTCTCTCGATTGTTTTGATTTTCCTGTGGTTGCCACTTACCCCCTACCACCCCTGTACTCTACCCCTGCATAGTCCCTCCCTACTCTGGCCCACTGTAGAAAGAACTTAGGAATTTTCGCATTTTTGAGCCTATTATGCCTGTCCACCCCACCCACTATAGGAACACCTCAATTTCAGTTCTACTGAATGGTAGTAGTTCTTTGACCTCCACCCTTGGCTCCAATCCCCAAACTCCTATCAATACCCTACCCAAGCAACACACTCCTCCCCCTCTGAAGAAGGGACATAAGAGAAGACCTGTTAGCCCTTCAGGCATTCATACTTCTAGCAAACTACTAGAAGTTTTTCATGTTACTCTAGTACTGCCTACTCCTGCCCAAAGACCACCTTCATCTGGTTCCTTGTCTTCTGATATGGACTACACTTATTCTTTTCCTCCTCCTACCTCAGCTCAGAGACCTCGGTACCCCATCTTTGAACAGTTCTTGCATGAGCTTGTTGGTGACATTAAGGCCATCAAGATGCACTATACCCCTCCTCAACAGGATTTTCTCCCTCAACTTATTACCAACATCAGCAGCTATGATAACAATGCCCTCTCTGAGAGTGATTCCCAAATCCCAACTGGAATTGATGTTAGACTAAACAAGAAGGAAACGACTTTGGAGACTATCTTAGCCACCTTGGACAAGCTAACACCCACCTGTGCTACCATCAATCCCCCATCTTCCTCCTCTCCAAAGACCTGGGCTAAAATTGTAAAACAGAATCAATCAGTTACCTCTACCTCTGGCACCAAGTCTCAACCTTCTAAATGATTCCCTGCTCTTGTTCCTGAGCCTGAGAGGACCCTGATCCTCAAATCCACCTACCCTCCTACCAACTTCAACCAACTTCAGATCACAGAAGCCATGAATCTAGCCTTGCAGAAGGCTGACTTGAACATTACTGTTGTGCTGGTCAGGCTTTCTGTTAATAACAATATTGTTATGGAAGTAAAGCCTGGAAACACTGCAGCTGAGTTGAAGGAGCAGGAAACTGTCTGGAGCCATCTGGTACCTGGATTACAGGAAGTGGTTATCAGGGAGAAATGGTACAAGTTGGTTGCACACTCTCTTTCTACTGACATGATTGTGGCAGATAGTGGGGAGAAGGAAATGGAAGCCTTCAGAGAGGATATTGAGACCTACAACCAGGACATTCATCTTGCTGCTCCACCTAAATGGTTAACTAGAGCAGAGGCCAGAGCAGGAAAGTTGTACTCCTCCCTAGTTCTTTCATTTAAAACTGCTAGAAAATTGAAGCATGCACTGAGAAATAGACTTGTGATTGCAGGAACTTCAGTAAGAACTTCAGAGTTCATGGACACCAGACCTACCTCACAATGCAAAAACTCTCAGAATTTTAGGCATTATCAGAAAGTCTGCAGGCAGGATCCTAGGTGTCAACTCTGTGGTGGAACTTACCCCACTAGGCTATACCAATACTCCATCTGTCAGGCTAGTAAGGAGTGTCTACATACTCTATTCCAGTGTGCTAACCGTGAGGCATCTCACAAATCGACTGACTTAAGGTGTGAAGTTTACAGAAATATTGTCAAGAAACCTGCACCTGCTACTGCGGACAACCCCTCTCATTCCTTATGAGAGGCAAGGTAATCTCTATTATCCAGTACAATCGTACAAAGACTTATGAAGTTCTGACCTGTCTCCTTCACTACACTAATGGTAAAGCAGATATTATTTTGATTCAAGAGCCCAGCTGGCATCTCATGGCACTCCTACTCTCACTCCTCCTTTGATTCTACTCTACCTGATACTGCTGATGGTGAAAAACCTAGCACTGCTGCCTACATTAGCAAATCCAGACAGGATATTTTTTGTTCTTATAGAGCTGACCTTCTTCCTCACCTTCATGGTGATATCCTCCCACTCCAGATTCTAGCTAGAACAGAGAAGTTTACCCTTTGGAATATTTATAATCAAAGAAGAAAACTGACACCAGACTCTAGACCAGTCTATACTATAGATAGAATACTACAATACCTACAACTACCTCCATCCTCTATCCTCTGTGGTGACTTCAATGCTCATCACAGTTGGTGGAACTCTGGAGTTGAATAACAAATCAGGGGTGACATACTAGTGGACTGGTTTAGAGCTAACAGATGTGATCTAGTCAACTGTCCAAATACACCTACATACAACTACAGACATGGGAATGGGACTTCAATTTTGGACTTAACATTGTCTACACCTGATATCTTTGAAAGACTTATTGACTGGGCAGTAGATCAGCATGCACATACTGGAAGTGATCATGAAGTAGTAAGATTATCTCTGGTATTGAATACTGACAACTTAGTTCCAAGTCCTATAAGCAACAAATTCAACTGGAAGGTAGCAGACTGGGAGGCTTTTCAGAAAACACTGCAAGAATTGATGGCCAGGTCTTCCCCTATATTTACTCCTCTCATTGATGATGGAACAACTTAATCCTTAGACCAGGCTGCCTGCATTCTGACAGACTCAATGCACCAGTCCCTCTCCCTCGATGTTTCTCTTAGCAAACCTTACTCTAGATCAAAGAGGTGGTAGACTGAGGAACTTACTAGTATGAGGACTGAGATGGCCAAATGTTGCAGAAAATGGAAACACTGCAGACTTAAGACTGACTACACTGACTAGAAAAGATCTAGGAACAAATACTTTAGGAAGATCAGAGACTGCAAAGCTAACTGCTAGCAGAGTTTCCTCAACACTGCTAGAGGTCAGGATATCTTTACTGCAGTTAAGTGTACTAGACCAACTAAGTCCCTCAAAACTCCACCCCTCTCTTTTAACCAACAGTGTGCTACTGACTTTGATAGTAAGTGCAAGATGTTCAGAGAAGCCATGTTCTCTGATATACCTGCCAGCAAAACAACTTTCAGCCAAGAGGACACAGAAATAGATAAGTGCTTTCCCTAGTATGATATTACTGACAGTGAGGCAAAAGAGGCAATCTTCAAATCTGCACCTCACAAAGCTCCAGGACTTGATAGTATTAACTTTCTTTGTCTGAGGCAAGTGTATCATGCAATTTCTATTCCTCTTGTTAAGTTGTTTCAAGCTGTACTGAAAACAGGTTATCATCCCCAATGCTGGAGAGAGGCAACTGGAGCTATAATCAGAAAACCTAACAAAGCCAACTATACTGCCACTGAAGACTATAGACCTGTCGCTCTGCTGAACTGCCTAGGAAAGATTTCAGAAAAGATTATGGCCAACAGACTAGCTTACATTACAGAAACTAAAGGCCTGCTACACTGAGAGCAGATGGGAGGAAGGAAAGGAAGAAGTGCAGTGGATGCAGTGATGGCATTAACACATGATATTCAGTACTAGGCCAAGTTAAATGGTAAAGTCCTTTCTGCCCTCTTTGTTGATGTCAAAGGTGCATTTGACCATGTTAGCAAAACACAGCTACTCTTAGTGCTACAGTCTTTAGGATTTCCTCCTCCTATTCTTACCTGGACAGACAGCTTCCTCTCTAACAGACAACTAGAGTTATCTTTTGATGGGCAAAGACAACCTCTCCTACCAGTCACCACAGGCATTCCTCAAGGCTCTCCCATTTCACCAATCCTCTTCCTATTCTACTTGACAAACTTGTTCAAGGACCTGGAGCCAGGAGTTTTAACTCCACACCTAAGATCCCCCTCTTTTATTGATGATATTGCTTTTATAGTCACAGGACCCTCTGAGTAGAGCAACTCCAAGGCATTGGAGGTGGTAGCCAGAAGGGCCTGGAGTTGGGCAGCTGACAATGTAATAGTATTTAATGATCCCAAGACAGAACTGATGCATTTTCACAACAAAACCAATAACCTTACTACCAACTCCCGTGTTACTCTTCCTCATGGCACTATTATCTACCCTTCTAAGCACCTCAGATGGCTAGAAGTTTGGCTTGACAGGAACCTTTTGTTTAACTGCCATGTGCAGCAGAAGACAGTATCAGCAACTAGGGTACTTCACATGATTTCTACACTATCCAACTCAGAATGGGGTCTCTCAGCAACAGCAATAAGGCAACTATACTACACCAGCATTACCCCAATAGCTGACTATGGAGTAGAGGTCTGGTGGAAAGGTCAAATTGGTCTTGCTAACAAATTACAGAAGTTGCAGGCAGAGGCAAACAGAAGAATCCTAGGAGCCTTCAGAACTTCACCTACTGCTGCAATGGAGATTGAAGCAGCCACTCTTCCTGTTCCTTTGAGACTTGACAGACAGTGTAAGAGATATGCTTATAGAGTTTTACAGATGCTTTCAGACCATCCTATCAGGCAGAGAACACCTAGCTCATTCCCCAGCACCCTTGCCTTAGTGCTTCCACCAGACAGACCATCCTCCTCCTCCTCCGAGACTGACATATCTTGGACTTCTACCTACAAACAACATCACAGAAAATACTTGTGGGATCCACAGCATGAGCCATATGGCAAGATACAGGTTGATTGGAGGAAAACTGATTCTGAGCCAGCTAAGTTCCCTACCCAACTGATAAGAGCATTAAATTCACTAAGTTCACTCCTGTCTGTAGGACTAGAGGTTGAACAGTGTTACCCATACCTGCAACCCCCCTGGGATACCAATCTACCTGACACTACCTCCAGACTTGACATCACTATCAGCCAGGAAGACAAAGACACTGCAGCTAAAAGTCATATCACTCGCCTCAATTCCTTCAACCCTTCAGAAAACCTTGTTCTCTATACAGATGGAAGTGAATTGCAGAGTGGAGGAGTAGGAGCAGGACTGGTAATGATTTATGGTGGTAGGATTGTTGGGAGATGGAGAGTTGGATTAGGATTTGGGATGAAGGTGTATGATGGAGAATTGGTAGGTATTGCCAGAGCACTCACAGAAGCCAGCAGGTCCAGCCTATCCTTTAAGCACATCTGAGTTTTCACAGACAACCAAGCACCAATCACCAACTCCCACAGACTCTCTCCCCACCTTGGACAACAAATTTCTCACCAGATTCAACAACTTACAAAAGACCTTCTATCCTCTGACCTGGACTTACAGCTTTATCTCCATTGGGTACCTGGCCACACTGGTATCCAAGGTTATGATGAAGCTGACACTCTGGCAAAACAAGCAGCTGAGTATCCCCAACCTGATATAGACAGTTATCTCTCACTGACCAAATTGAAGACACAGATCAAGCAGTCTGCCCTTAAAGCATGGCACCAGTACTGGACACAGTTACAACCAGCCAAGCAGAGCAGACATTATAGGTCCATCCACTTCCACCTACCTTCTCTGCATCCTCCACCATACTTCTTTCAACTCTCCAGACTACAACTTGCAACTGTCACCCAACTTAGACTTGGGCATGGCTACATCAACTCTTATCTTAGCAGATTGGATGAGAATGTCAGTGACAGATGCAGTTGTAGCAAAAGGACATCAGCACCAGAGACACCAGAATACCTGATCCTATACTGCAGCAGATACCGACAGCATAGACATCTTTTAAGATCAGTTGCTTATTACTTCTACCTCCCAGATGTGCTTGGATTTAAGACTAGACTGCTGGCTTTAGGAGATTTTGTGAGAAAGAGTTGGATTGGAACTAGGAGAGGGTACCTTGGACAAGTACCAGAGTGTGAGGGCTCTGGCAATGGAAGTAGTGGGGTAGAGGATAGAAGTTGCGAAGAGGAGGGTGGAGGACAGCGATATGAATGGGAGGAGACAGAGGTAGAGAGATAGAGAGAATAAAGGATAGCAGTAGGCCAGGTGGAGGAATAGAAGGAAATAGGATGGCAGAAGGCCCAGTGAACAGGTAACAGAATGATGGAGGAGATGGAATTAGGGACCAGTAGTAGGAAGCACTACAATCATGTACTTTTACAGCTTCATAGCCTCTGGCTCGATAAG